CTTTGGAAAGCTTCAGAAAAATAAACTGTGTCCAAATCATCTCTGAATGATAGGATTACCGGAAAGATCGCTGTGGGTGCTACTTTTGGTAGGCAGCCAGGGTAGTTATTATTCAAAGATGCGTTTCCAAAAAAGGGGTTACGTGCCCTGTTGGGCGGGTGGGGATATCCCCTCTGCTAGATTTCGATGCTTGGAATTTATTTATGAATATGAAGTCTTTTAAAGCTTTATGAAGTAAAATACCGATGTGATAAAAAAAAATAAATAAATAGACAACTTAGAGCTCTTTTGGACAACACCAAATACCAGAGGTTACGCAATCGGATGTGGCCCTTATACTAAAAGAAAAGAAAGGGTGCCCGACTCACTATCATAACTTTACCCTAATGCCTTATGAACATAATGTTGAAAGGAACTAGACTACCTTAATATGGTATTTATTCCTTCCATAGTGTATTAAATTTTCTGTTTGTAAATGCGAGTTAACCCATTTTATACAATCTTTAAAATTTATTTTCACACTTTCATTATGATTATTTTAATCTCTCTTTTCCCGGTTTCGTTCCTTTTGAGGAGGGGGGGGGGTAATGAGAATTGAATAGAACAAGCATTCTGAGAGTATTGCATTAGCAATACTAGTCCCCTACCGGCAAGTGTAATCTGGTTCCCGTTAAGAATTGAAAATGCCATAATTCCATCAAAAATCAATGAAGCGGGACGAAATGCAAACTTGATCTATAACTAATCAAAGTTAAGTCACATACCAAAAATCAGCTCAATATCTGAAAGCGTTAAGAAGAAAATTGCGGAAAACCCCTAAAAATTGAAAAGGCCGTAATTCCGTCAAAATTCAATGAAGCGGAACGAAATGCAAACTTGATCTGTAACTCATCAAGATACACTCACATACCAAAAATCAGCTCAATATCTCCAAGCGTTTAGGAAAAAAGTGCGGAAAACCAAGTGGGACAGACTGACAGACAGACAGAGGGACAGACAGACAGACAGACGGACAGACAGACAGACGGACGGACAGACGGACGGACAGACTCAGAGGAAACCTATAGTCCCCTCCGGTTTCACCGGTAGGGGACTAACAAGCATTCTGAGAGTATTGCATTAGCAATACTAGTCCCCTACCGGCAAGTGTAATCTGGTTCCCGTTAAGAATTGAAAATGCCATAATTCCATCAAAAATCAATGAAGCGGGACGAAATGCAAACTTGATCTGTAACTCATCAAGATACACTCACATACCAAAAATCAGCTCAATATCTCCAAGCGTTTAGGAAAAAAGTGCGGAAAACCAAGTGGGACAGACTGACAGACAGACAGAGGGACAGACAGACAGACAGACGGACAGACAGACAGACAGACGGACGGACAGACGGACGGACAGACTCAGAGGAAACCTATAGTCCCCTTCGATTTCACCGGTAGGGGACTAATAAAATATTTATTCAACCATTTTGGGCCCGCAATGGAGCATAAATATGAACAATGTCCGAAATCATAGTTATAAATATAACAACCAACAAATGTACTAATGAAAAGAGTTAGCTGTCAACTTTTAGGATGCATAAAATGATACAAATAGTAAATGTATATTAAGATTCATCGATGAGACGATTTTCCTGAGTTATTTATCTTTTATTTATTGATCTTAAATTCAAAATGCCAGAGGACAATGGATTCGACAAACGTGTATTATCTTAAAAATTCAAAATGCTAGAGGACTATGGATTCGACCTGAGAAAAACAAATGAACACAAGGCTGTCAAAGTAGCTTCCCTTGAACATACACCAGTTACATAATCAAGAAGGATAACTCAATCGATGAATTAGCAGTAATGTCCCTTGGAGAGACACCCGACTGGCAGAATACGACGGAAAGCCGTGGCCAATCGTATGTTTTATCTGTTTATGTTTATTTTTTAGATTGACAATAGGCGGACTTTACAAGGGAACATTTTATTCACAGATGTCCAGTTATGCTTCCTTCATGTAGCCCGGTTAGATTATCAATTGAAAGATGTATGTTTTTAGAATTTTTTTTACAGGGTTTCATTTCTGAAGGGAATTACTTCCGAGGAAATTCCGAATGCTAAAATTAGGATCATATTTTAGTCCTTTTTTCATTGGTTGTCGTTTTGGTGATGACGTCATGATTGCTAGGCTGTGTGATGTGTTTTGGATACAGCTCATTGTTTCAGCATCAGTTGTTGAGATAAGACGTGATTTTCGCAGAGCGAAGATTTTCTGAAATATTTGATAACATACAGTCAATACAGTTACAGAAATGAACGGACAGAGCTATAAGAGGGTAATAGACATATTTATTTGCTTTTGTGAGGAAAAGTTTAGGGTGTCTGTTGCTAAGGAGGAATCTAAAATCTCGAACTTGAAGCAAAAGACCTTAAGGGCCTAGCTGAAATCACAGGCGCTTTTTTCCAGGTTGTTTTTGTGTTTTATGTCTAAATATAAAAAAATAAAAACAAAAAAATCAACGATTTTTTGGCAATTTGCTGTTTAAAATAGTACATTGGAACTAAAAAACAACAACAAACAAACGAAAAACAAACAGCAAATATTAGGGATTTTTTTAATTTCTTATATTAAGACAGATCGACACAATAAACCCACAAAACATTAAATACACCATCCTCAGGCCTGGAACCCAGCTACTAATGGCTAGGCTTCATCTTATTCGACTTCTGAATTTTCTGAACACTTTTTAAACTTGGTAAATGAACATGAGATTAATAAAGTTTGGAAGACAGATTGTCTATAGGCCTAGTAAGTCCTTGTCAAACTTGCATTTTGCGGCTTAGAGTTCTTTACTGAGAAAAAGTGGGATAATCAACATTCAAACCAAATACTGGTGATTCTTGCATTAATATTCTGTTTAGCAGAAAAAACTAGTCACTTGTACAACAAAACCATTTGGTAGCTAAAATAATTGTTGGGAATGATTATGTACTTACAAATGTCTATGCTTATGAAGCAGAGACATATAATAGAATAAAGAAGAAAATACAGTACAAGGCAAAGGGGGATCATTAAATGTCATTAGACAGCGAGTAATTTGAGTTGTTCCCCTTTGATCATGTAGCTAAAAGAAGACAAGTGTTCTTCATTGTTTTTAGCTCACCTGAGCTGTAAACATTTCACATTTTCAACTTCTTCTCAAGAACCACTGGGCCAATTTTAACCAAAATTGGTACAAAGCATCCTTAGGTAAAGGGGAGTTTGAATTGTGAAAATAAAGGGCCAAGCCCCCTTCAAAGGGGGCTTGATAATCAAGAAAAAGACAAAATTAAGATAGGTGGGGTCATTAAAAAATCTTCTTCTCAAGAACCACTGGGCCAGAAAAGGTGAAAAAAATTGGTACAAAGCATCCTTAGGTAAAGGGGAGTTTAAATTGTTAAAATAAAGGGCCAAGCCCCCTTCAAAGGGGGCTTGATAATCAAGAAAAAGACAAAATTAAGATAGGGTTGGGTCATTAAAAAATCTTCTTGTCAAGAACCACTGAGCCAGAAAAGCTGAAACTAATGTGGAAGCATTCAAGCATCCTGGGGTAGTGAAGATTCTAAATTGTTCAAATCATGACTCTCGGGGGCAGGGCTGGGCCACAGTAGGGAACCAAGTTTTACATTGAAATATGTAGAAAATATCATTAAAAAATCTTCTTCTCAAGAACCACTGGGCCAGAAAAGTTGAAACTTATGTGGAAGCATCCTGGGGTGCGTAGATTCAAAATTGTTCAGATCATGCTCCCCGGGGGCAGGGCTGGGCCACAGTAGGGAACCAAGTTTTACATTGAAATATGTAGAAAATATCTTTAAAAATCTTTTTCTCAAGAACCACTGGGCCAGAAAAGCTGAAACTTATGTGGAAGCATCCTGGGGTGTGTAGATTCAAAATTGTTCAAATCATGGTCCCTGGGGGTAGGGTGGGACTACAATAGAGAATACAATTTTTACATTGAGATGTAAAGGAAAAAAATCTTTTAAAATCTTCTCAAGAATCTCGGGGCTAGAAAAGCTGAAACTTATGTGGAAGCATCCTGGGGTAGTGTAAATTTTAATTTGCTCGATTCATGACCCCTGGGTGTAGGACGGGGCCACATTAGGGAATCAAAGTTTTACATTGAAATATATAGGCAAAATCTTTAAAAATCTTCTTCTCAAGAACCACTGGGCCAAGAAACTGAAACTTGAGTGGAAGCATCCTGGGGTTGTGTAGATTCAAAATTATTCAAATCATGACCCCTTGGGGGAGGCCACAATAGGTATTACAAGGAGGGAAATCAGGTGAAGAAGAGCATGGCCAAAGTTACTCAGTTGAGCATTGTGGTCCATTGGCCTATTGTTTACTTTTGCATCTCTGGATCTTTACTTCTTATTCTATATGATATATTCAAGTACATATTTTCCATTTTTAAAATAGTTTTTCAAAGCAAAAAATCCATTGTCTGTAACTAACAGTGAGGACACTAACATCATTTTTGAACTGAGGAAATTTTTTTTGGGGGGGGGGGGGGGATAATATGCCTGAAAAAAAAAATGAAAAGCATTAAAAAAACCAACTTTGAAAACTTTAAGTTATTGGGAGAGGGCAAAAAAAAAACAAAAGGAGGATCAGAATTTAGATGAAAATTCCTAAAGTAAACAGCAAAAGATTAATATTCTTGGACACCCCCCCCCCCCCCCCCAAAAAAAAGAGTGGGGCTCCTGATACTATTTGAATGTGTAATTTGATCTGGAAATAATAGATCATTTTAAGTATTTTGTTGAAAGTTCCCTCGTATCTTCTCATAATATAACATTAATCAGGTGATTTCAGGGCCTACAATCATTTCCTTAAGTAGTATTTAAATTTTACACTTGACGGAACAGAATTGCTAAAACATTTTATTTTATGTCATTTCAGAAGAGAGTGGATGTTCAGTATGCCAACCCGGAAGTTGCCTCAAATACTTACAAGAGGCTGGGAGTGGACATCTTGACCACACCCACCACTTCCAGGGGAATTGAGGAGGTCTCAGTTTTGTTTTATATGTCATATATATTGATGTAAAAAAGAAGTAAGTTGATTTAAAATATTAATCTTAATCTTCTCTAATCTATTTCTATTGCAATATTCTTCTATCTTCTCTCAACTTTTGGTCTATTTCTTTTACTTTTTGCTATATATTTTCAGAATTTTTTTCCCTTCACTTTTTATTGTATTTTTTTCTGAAATTTTGGCTGATTTGCAAAATATGAACCCTCATCCATTTGTATAATGTGTATAATTATTCATTTTATCACAGGTTGAGCCACCAAGAAAGCATTATATTCAAGCTGTCAATCAAGCTGTATTTCAAAACACAGGACCCACTTGTACAGCTGGCAGAGTGGTGCCAAATGGGGTAAGTTACGTGGAATATATGTAAATGTTAATTTTAAAAACTTCTCATCTTTAGGGACCTACATAGCCTAAATATATATATATAGATACAAATGTTCATTAATAAGAGTTGAATTTAAGAAATACATGTACACTATTATTTGCATTCTCTTTTCAGGTGGCAAAATCTTTGTTGAGCAATGAACAAATACAACAATTCATAACCTCAACAGTTCTTCCTAATGGTCGCTCAGTCACCAGCACTGAAGCAGTTGACCCTAATGTCACCAATTTCTCATACACTGTGTATCCTTCTCAACCAGGGACAAGGATACAACAGCAGGTATGTAGACAAAGTTTAGGTTAAGGTATAAATATTTTAGAGTCTTTTTATCTGATTTTTCAGTTCATTTTATTATACCCCACAAAATTGAAGTTGGGTTGGGGTATACAGAAATCATTATTGTCCATCTATCTATCTGTCCATCTGTCTTTGCAATCATGTCTGGGCCATAACTTTGTAACAAAGAAACAATGGAAGTTCAAACTTGACATAAAGCTTGCATATAACATGAGGATATGTCATGACCTTTATTCAGGGTCAATCAGTTATATCACCAATTGCACTGTGTATCCTTCTCAACCAGTGAAAGGGATACAACAATAGGTACATTCATATTTGGATTAATGTGCATATTATCATCTTATAGTTTATGTGCTTTTATTTAGTTATTATACTCCAAACCTCTGCAACTGTTGTTATACTCCAAACCTCTGCAACTGGAGTTTGGGAGGGGGGAGTATCATGATTGTCCTATGTTCATTGGTATATCAGTCTGTCTATGCAATCCTTTCTGGGCCATTACTTTTTAATGTAGAAAAATTGGGTCATAATTCACACAAAGATTGTATAGATCTAAGGATCTGTCATGACCTTTAATGAAGATCAATTAGGCATTTCAAGGTCACTAGCAGAAAGTAAAATTCGTGTCCAGTCCATAATTTCCAAATGAAAAAACACTGTAAGTTCATGCCTTATGCAAAGATTGTTTATGACCTAAGAGTGTGTCATGACCTTGACCAAAGGTCATTTGGTCAAGTTCAAGGTCACGTTTTAGAAAATTGAATTAACCTGTCCTAGCCATATTTTGTAATGGAGAAATGGAAGCTCATTTCATACAAAGATTGCTTATGACCAAAGCATATTTCCTGACCATGACCCAATCGGTTGGGCAAGTTCAAAGTCACTACCAGAATAAGTGTCCACAACTTACTACTGGAGAAAAAATAGAAGTTGATACTTTATGGAAAGATGGCTCACTGGTAGAAAAGTAAATATAAAATTTGTGTCTGGTCCATATCTTTCTAATAGTTCATGCTTTAAACAAAGATTACTCATGATCAAAGGGTGTCTTATTTTCTTGAAGTAAGTCATTTTGACAAGTTCAAGGTTATTTTTAGAAACAATGCACTTGAGCATTGAAGCAGAAAGTATGATTTTGTGAGTATGCCCACAGTACCTCTATCTAGTTTTACTGATAATAGACGATAAGGGCCAGCTAACAACTAAACTGTATGACAAACGAAATGACTTCCACTTTTTCATTGTCAGCTTTCCTTATTTATGAAGTCATATTCCACTATCACCTGCATATGGTGTTTATGTCTCCCAACTCAAAAGCTTGCTCTGAGTATGATCAATTTTTAAACCAAGACAGGCTACTGACAAAAGTTGATATTAGAGGGATTTCAACAACCTCATTTAAAGTCAGCATTTTGTAAATTCTGTGGTCGTAATAATGACCTTGATAGCAAATACAACCTATCATTGGGTAGGATTTTAGCTGACATATTTCATACCAATTGTTAGGCCTTTGTTTTTTATACTAAATTAGACTAAGGAATATCCCATCTACATGATATATACATAGGGCTTTCTGTGGGTGTGACCGTTCAACAGGGGAAGCTTACTCCCCTCAAGCACCTGGTCCCATTTCCAAAATTTCCAGTGGTCTGTGTTTTATGCCCTGTTTACAGATTTGTGTTGTTTGTAATTTTTTTTTTTTAGATTGATCACGGTTCATTATCTTCACCTATTTCATCTATGATATTTTTGAATTGTCTTCTTTTGTAGACTGATTGCACAAATGTGCATCCACAACTGACATTAAATGTGCTGAGATCAGGACAGACCCTACCATGTACGTCCATCCAACAGCAGTCTCAGGAGACTGTACTGCAAAAGCAAACAGAATACAACGATCAGTCTACTGTACAACAGCTGGTCTTAAACAGCCAGGGAAACATTCATCCCTCAGCTCAGAATGGTTTTGCTGTCCAAGTTATAGACTCGACTTTGGCACAGGCAGAGCTACAACAGCCAATTTCTGCAAATGAACTTGTAAGTACATGTATCTTATGTTCAAGAAACATGCAATCACACAATGTTCTGTTTATTTCATTTTCAAATATGAGAAGTTTTATTGGATAGTAACATACAATGAATTTCTTTCTCATTAACACATACTTTTTGACCCCACTTTCACTAAATGTGGGGGATATTAATTTCAGTCTATCTGTTCATCTGTTTGTGTGTAACACTTAAGTTTTTGATATCTCATCCTTGAACTATTGCTATAAACTTTTATATTATAACTCTCTATTAATTGAATAATATATTAATTTAGAGGTCAAAAGGTCAAGGTCATGATAGAAATTCATATATTGCATGAAATGGTTTCCAGATCATATATTTTGTTTTCTTAGAGCTAATTGGACTTTTGAATTGCAAGTGTACACCATATTCATAACTCCTTATAACTGGAGAATGACCCTTATTTCATAGTCAAAATGTCAAAGGTCAGGGTCAGAAAATAGCGATAGCTTAAGCTTTTGTAATGAAATATTATATCATAATTATCTATGGCTTAAAAAGATCACTCTTGATTTTGAGGTCGAAAGGTCATGGTCAGAAATGCACACATTGCATTTTGCAACAAAATGCCATTACTTCTAATGACCCAAAGAAGGTCTTTATTATTTTTTAGATCAAATGGTCAAAGGCCAAGGAAATTTATATATTGCCTAAAGCAGTTTCCAGATTACTCATGCTGAACTTTTTGCAATGAAATATAAGATTTATATGACTTTTTTCTTTTTTTTTTCTTTTTTCACTGGGTGTGTTCAATTTGTTAAACTCTGCACACATCACTGAGCACGGACTGACAATACTGGTCAAGTTGGCTTTCTACTCTGAATTTTCTGGATTATAGCTTTAATATTTTTCATTAATACACAACAAAATTTCTACCTTTCCTAAGTATTAAGGATAACATTTTCTTTGTGAAAGTGCAAGCATGTGTCAATCAAATACCTCCCAAAATTTGTAGTTTCAATAATTTCCAGATAAAGTTTTTTTTTTAAATTATATTTCCATGTGAAATGCTATAGCAACATTTAAAAATCTGTGCCCAGGCGCCACAGGCACTTGTTTCTGTAATAAATTTTTGACCCACAGTATAATAATATTATTATACTATGGGTCAAAAATTTATTACAGAAACAAGTGCCTGTGGCCCAGGCCCCTTTAAAACTACAGTGAAATAAATGTACAGAATGAACTCAATTAGTAAAATGTATAATTTTGTAAAAAAAAAAAAATACTCTAGATAACTTTGGATAACTTTGTTGTGTTTTTATAAACAGATTTTACCCAGAAATTTTGAGGTCCAAGGTTATACTCCAATCACTGTGCCAGATGAATGGGTTAAGGGAACAGAGCTACAAGTTCCTACCAACATCAGCAGTGTTCCATCAGTTGTAGGAGTGTATGACCAGATCATTCATCTACCAACCCAAACAATCTATGGGGATGGTAATTACTACCAGAGTGCATACTCACCTCTGGTGACACCCACACCTAATGTGGCAACAACTGGACTATCACCTGATTATCCCCAGAGGTGTTCTGCTGCTCAGTTTGTAAGTTTATTATATTTTTTATAAATAATTTTCAGTGTGTTTTTTAAGCTGAAAGTCAGTAACATTTTCAACCAAAAACAAACTAATTTTTTTTTGTATCAGGAAACATGGAGTCTGAGCCCACAGAGTGTACCCACTTTTGTGGCACCAGTGGAGGCACAAACAAAAGCTAAACCAAAAAAGTCAAGGAAAAGGACTCCTAAAAATGTTTCTCAAGGACAATATGCAGATATAAATACGGGCAAACATTTGACTTCCAACAGATCAGTGGCAAAAGGGAGTAGAAATTTGGCTAATATGGATGTGAGACCCATGCAGCAGACCACTGGGAATCAAATGGAAGCAACTTTGCACCAGACCCACAGTCAGAATTCTGCCCAATCCTCTGTCACTCAGAAAGGTGGCAAGGTAATTTAAAAGAACATTAAAAATAAATCCTGATTCTTACAAGTTTAATTGTGTGGATTTGTGATTTGTGCTTTATTTTTCTAGAAAGAAGTCAAACGCATTGTTGTTCCACCCAAAATTCAAACAGACCCAGTAGAATATCCTCCATATGTTGCCAGAATTATGAGGATCCTGAACAGACAAAAACAGGTAGATGTAATAAATTTCTGATATCAATCTACATATTTAATAGAAGTCAAGAAGAATAAATGAGTTTTAAAACATGTATAAATTTGTGTGATGGATGGTTTCAGGGTCATGGGGAATCTACTGATGATAAAAAGGAAAGTGTTGATTCCACACCCAAACAAATGACCACTGCTGGTAGAAATGATAAGGACAGATCTGATTCTACTCCTAAACAAGCTATCACTCCTGACAAAAAAGCAACAAAAACCGTGGATTCAAGCCTTAAACATAAGGAACCACCAAGTGTTGTATCAATATCTTCAGTGCCATCAAAGCAGTCTGCATTGGAACAAAAGGTAACATACAGAAAACAATGTAATTTGACAGTGTGTATAAATAAAACATCAAATATTGTGAATGAAAGTAATTAAGTAAAATGTGTAAAATAATTTCAGCATAAATCCTTGTCTGGTAGTGTTGTCCAGAAGGTCATTGCGAAAAGTAGCCAATTGAAATCTGGGTCCAGAAAAGAGCCAACATCTATCAGAAAGGTATTTTAAATTTGCTCAAACATTTTGTTGAGTTAAAATTATATGTGAAATGATTTGGCCTGGCACTACATGTGCTTAACTGCAAATTTGCATATATATGCAAAACTGTCAAAAAATGCATTTTGGGCTTTTATGTAATCATTTGATAATTAACTTTCATGTTACAAATTTCATCTGAGATTTACAAAGTAAATTAATTATGAAATATGTTTGACAGACACTCACAGAGGACTACAGACCAGTGGTTAACACAGGCCTGTTACTAGATGACTTGTTACCTAACAGTTTTACACTGTTGGAAGCAGACAATTTCTATGGACCAGAGATTCTTGTCACTTCTGACTCTCACTGCTTTGTGGCGTCTGTGCCTTTCTTCTAACTGGACAATGGAGACTTCTGAATGTGGAGAGTGTGGACATTTAGTGATGGAACATTCTCTTAGTGAACTCAAACCGCAGTCTTTCATTAAAGCTTCTGTGATATTTATTTTGAAAGGTCTTTTGACCAGTTTTACATTTTTGAGCTGACACTGGTATGACTTGAAAACTGACTTGATATGGAAACTAAAATTTTATGTTTTGGAGCATTTTTTTCATAATCATGTGTCAAATGATTTAAAAATTTAGGGTTACTTCAATAGTATCATATTTTTTTTCGTTACAACTACCTGCATGTTTGAAAATCACTTTTTGTTGTTATTTACTTTTCCTAATAAAATTGCATCCTTTATTTTGTTGTGTTTTATATTGGAAGATAGATTTTCAGCAAAACTTGGTGGATTCAGTATTTCCATCTGACAAAAGTCGAGATATAAATCACATTGAAGCTAGTCTAAAACTAAATGAAATATGAAGATAATGAACAATTGCCAAGCTCAAAAGTCTATTGAAACAATAAAAATTTTGAGTAGAGCAAACACAGACCTCTAATTTCATTGTATGGACCATATAGCTTGCAAAATGTTGGATTTATGGTCATCTTTACAATAATGTTTGTTTGCCCTCACCCGACTCAGGGTTAAAAAAATTGGGTAGGTAGGCAGGTGAAAAAAAAAGAATTCTTTCTCAGAAAATTTCAGCATCAATGCTTAATGTTCAAAGTATATTAAAATCAAAGGTATTAATAAAATTAAAATACTTGTTGACAGGATGAGAAAATTTCGGAATAAAAAAAATCGTTAACTTTCCTGGAGGTTAAAAAGAGTTAATAGTCCGGCCATTTTTAGCCTGTCAGGCGAGAGAGGGTAATACAAACATTTTTCGAAAGATGGCCTACACGAGACCGTTGATATGCTTGTTTCTTCAACTTATCTGCCAATAGCTTGACTAATCTTAGAAATCGTTCGTATACGTAGAGCATGCTCTTGCGTATCAAATCAACTGGCAGACATAAACTCCTGCAGGTGATAATCGTATATTGCTACATGTAATTAAGGAAAGTTGACGAAAGAAAAGTTCTGCAAGGAACTGTTGAGTTTTTGTAATTAAAAAGTTTTAAAAGCAATAGTCGATGTATATTTGTAAGAAATATAAGGTGTGGACTTCAACTTGAAATATGGTGGGATAAAAGATTGTGATTAAGAATATTACTTAAATTAACTGCGTCAAATCCTTTGTTGGCAAATTGAAATTTAAAGAACAAACGGGTTGTTTTAGCAGTATTGTGTTCCGTAAGAACGTGGCGGTCTAAAAAGCCTATGATTTGCAATATCCATAATCACAGATCCGAGATGGTATTCTGGTGTCGAAGAATCCAAATATGGACTTCCCATAACTTTTTTCAAATAGACTATTTAAAACTTTCAAAAGGACAGTGTGAAGTTTGGTGCGAATGTGATGAAGACCTTCCTGTTTTTTTTTTATATAAGATAGTAGTGAATCAAAAGAATGGTAGAGATATGATGGCTCCAGGTACATCTGACCGAAGTGGTTATCATTCAGATTCGGAGTGAAGTCTTAAATAGATGATTACAATAATGCCTAATTTAAAATTCATTATTATTACCAAAAAGAATGTCTGGGAGAAAGTCTGATTAATTTAGAATTTTTATTAAATAAACTTCATCTTCATCTTCATACTGAAAATCACAGCTTAAACTTTCGAACAACAACAACAACAACAAAAATAAATAAATAGCTTGTTTGTTTGTTTTTTGAAGATCGTCCATGAGAGCTGATAAAGGATTGAAGTGTTTACTCTCTCTCTATTTTCAAATTTTCATTACTCTAACAAATATTTTTATTCAAATTGCTCACATTTTTAATTAAAACTTGACCAGAACATTACTGCTACACTTTTAGGTCATACTTGGGGTTTGAGGGGGAAAATGACTCTGTCTTGCAATCTAGCTCTTTACTGAGAAAGATCATTATCTACATAATTTTATGGCAATTTCATTTATGGAGAAAAGAACATTCAGTGGAATCAAACGAATTTCATGTAGATTGTCATATAAATAATTCATAGTCACTCTGTAATGTTTGAAGAAAGTAATGCGCTCCCTTTATTTCCTACAATACTGATCTTTATATTAATATAGGTTAAGAGTTAAGGTTGCATATATTTAGGACTTCGTACTCATACTGTTATTACCAATCCATTATTAGGAAAAGACCTTTGATTTGGTTGCATGTCACTGCAAGAGAAATCTATTGCTGCCTTTCTTCTGATGAAAAATTTAGACAGATTCGTAATTAATTTTTAGGTTTTCAGGTTCAATTTTTTTTTTTTTTTTTTTTTTTGCAGAAACATGCTAGGAAAGACTTGTTCAAAAAATCATCTTGAGATGCTCAAGTTGAGAATATAAGACAAAAACCATACAGAGAACAAAATAAAAAGTCGAATACAGAAAATTTTTGAAACGCAGCTCGAAAAAGAAAGGTAAGGCTTGGAAAGAAAAGTTGTACAACTTGAGGAAGTGCTATATTATTCTGAAATAATATCTGAGAAGAAAAGAGATATAAACGCAAAGTTTGGCAAAAATATCAAGACCTCTACAGGTCCAACAGTTTTGTTAAAAGAAAATCCGGTTCAAATCTCTTCACCAAGTTCTATCACAAAGGACGAAAAATTCTTGAAGACACAACAGAATTTTACAATGAATGAGACCAAAAAACCAACAAATCAATCTCAAGTCCTCTCATAAAACAAATCAATTCATGAAGAAGACACATAATTCATCTAATGAGAAACGTCTTTTGACAGGTGAGAACTGTACTACCAGATCTTCTAGTTTTATCTTGATTTCAAATAACGTTTACAATCATGCGATCTATCCACAGGCTTTGATTGTCTTTAGTATAATATTTTGTGCATTGGCATTCTGACTTTTCCTTCACGATGTAGTATATTCTCTGCAACTAAATTGTTGCAAGAAATACTGGAATCTATTTGTCCGTCTATCCATGCATCCTTCTCCGTCCATAGACTTCGGCGAGTTCCTGACTTTTCGCATCGAAACTATACTTAAACAATTTGAACATTTTTTGGATGTTTCATTTGACGCAAACTTCAGGAACTGCATCTGACTTATTAACCTAATTCGTGATAGAGTGACTGTTTCAGCATTTTGAACCACCGAAATATGACTGGTATATTGCTGACTCAGCGTAAAACAACAATAATCAATCAGAACTGGTTCAGTTTTACATAGCACAACTTGAGTGATATATCTTCGCTGAGCGTAAAGATCCCTTTTAAGCCTTTTAGGTTCATTCATAGCATTCATATAGATGTGTGCTTTGAATGCTGCATTTAGCACCAGGTTTCCAGAAAACTTCATTTTTCATCACCTTTCAGATGTCCAGACAGCAACGCCTCTATTCGCACACAGTGTAGCATTCTCTGCCTATGTGTCTACATTCGAGACCGATATAACAAAAGACCACACAATTAAGTTCGACAGAATAGTGACAAATGTTGGCAATCACTATAATCCACATTCCGGAATATTCACTGCTCCACATCATGCTGTGTATGTGTTTACATGGAACCTTTATTGTAAATGGGGTGGCTATATATGTTCTCAGATTATTGTCAACTCGAATGCTGTTGGGACCATGCTCTCAGAAGGCAAGGGTGCTTCAAACGTTAGAAGTACAACAGGAGTCGTGGTGGTAGAGGTCAGTCTAGGTGACGTGGTGTTTGTCCGTACTATATCGAACAGATTAATAAAATAATCCATAGTCAAAATAAGTATTAAACAATGTCATACGTCAAGCAAAATTCAATGCAAAATGAAATAAAGGTGATATTTGCAAACAATTTTAATGATCATACATTTGCAAATTTGCTGACTTTGGACGAGACGATAGATAGTCCTATGACATCAACTTACTAGTATTTGTCAGTAGCATAATTAATGGTAACAAAACATACTATCGCGTACCGAACGAGTTGAGGGACATTATCACCATTTGCAGATGATTTTAAATATTGCTAAATAAATTGGGGAGTTGATGGTGGAAAAGCTGTTTTGTATAGTTTTGTATAATCTATTTATTAACTCGAGTCAGTAAAACGTCCAAACTTAATGTGAATGAAGATGTGACGAACCCTAAATTGATAAACAGACCCAGAAAGACCCTTTAGGTATCTTTTTCAACAAATACAAGTATATACTTTGTCAATCCCCTTTCTACACTCCTAGCGAACCATTTTCTTTCCCCAAAAAATTAGTTGAATGACTCAACCTTATTTGCAGTGTAACGATCAATGCCAGTCCTACAAGTCATTATAATGGTATTTTTTTTTAAATTTATGTCACTTAAATACTTTTTGCAGTGTCAGAAAATTGTATCTATCACTAGCTAAACAAGCACACTGTCATTTATTAACTAGTAAATACATGTATGTATTTAGTAAGAAGGGGTTTCAGTGTTTTCGTTGAAATGTTTATTGGCTTTCAAAATTGATTTCACTACTTAAATTGTACATAAAGAATGTATTTACTCTGATAAGGGAAAAAAAGTTTTAAATGGTTCTTGAGCCAAAAAAGCCTTCAAGACTTTCAGAGTTTAAGTGTCTTCACTGCATCATAATGGTTGGCAAAGATGATGATATCAATGCCATAATTCTCAAACACGTGAAAGATTTTTTTTAAATTGTTTAAAATTTATATCAGAATGGAATTCAACTATTTGGAGAAGAGTCAAAGAAATTCATGGCCTATGGCCTATGTACCTCCATCTCCTCTCTTCTTGTTTTATGTTTGTTCTCCTATCTTCAAGTAGTTCTTCATTAGTGATGGTTCTTGGCTAAAAGATACGCAATTCCTTCAAAGACATTATAATCTGGAAGACATCTATGCTATTGATTACTTCAATCAGCTTCAATGATTCTGCATAATACAGAAGGACTTCTAGAACACCATTAACTTGGTGTTGATGCTAACTTTTAATGGTTTCCACATCTTTCTCGAGATGCGAATCCCCCCCCCCGGCTTTTGATATGCGGGCAGAACGTCTATCTCAGCGCTGATGTTGCTTCCCAGGTAGATAAAGTCTTGTAATTTCTTTACTGCCTAAGTCACATTTAAGCCGAAGGTCGGGCGACCAAATTTTTTTCGTATCGTCGGCTGAAAAAAACAGGATTGGCCGACACCGACACTAGTATCGAGTGACACAGAGTAGTCACATTAATTCCTAGGAACAACGATGCCTTTAAAAGTTGAAATATTTATAAATTGTCAAAACGTCCCTCGATTATCGTTCGCTGAGCCGACACTAGTATCGAGTGACACAGAGTAGTCACATTAATTCCTAGGAACAACGATGCCTTTAAAAGTTGAAATATTTATAAATTGTCAAAACGTCCCTCGATTATCGTTCGCTGAGCCGCAGTTTGATTTTCACCGTCGGCCGACTTTTACGGAAACCCAATTTCTAAATGTTGACCGACCGACTTAGCAAACTGTCTGTCGATAATCGGATGATGATCGAAGGTTGGGCGATGGACTATTCAATGACTGCTTTAATTGGAAGAATCGGCCATCGACTCAGAAAAAAATATAACTTGGCCCGACGGAAACAAAATTGGTCGGCCGACGAAATTAGATGTAAAAAATCGGTCAAGACAACAAACCCTCCATTCGGATTCGGCATTTCTGCCTACGTGTCTACATTAGAGACAGATATATCAAAAGACCACACAATTAAGTTCGACAGAATAGTGACAAATGTTGGCAATCATTATAATCCACATTCCGGAATATTCACTGCTCCACATCATGGTGTGTATGTGTTTACATGGAACCTTTATTGTCATTCAGGTGGCTACATTTATTCACAGATTATCGTTAATTCTAATGTTGTTGCTGCCATGCTCACAATAGGCCAGGGCGTAACAAATATTAGAAGTACAACAGGAGTCGTGGTGGTAGAGGTCAATCAAGGTGATGTGTTGTTTGTTCGCACTCATCCTACTAACACCCATATTGGAAATCTCTATAGCTGGTCAGAGAAATCAACATATAGCGTCCTTATGACGGCGATGAGGCCTTTGTGAGGTCAAGTTGACATACAAAACGAAGTTCCATTCGTTGCTCTGCTCCACTATTTCTCTTAGGTAAATACATTCGATCAAAACAGGATCTGTCTCTCTTAAATCCTGCTGGCTCCTTCCTTTATAGGTGATTTACTATGATTGAACTTACTAGAACTTTTGTTCAGAACCTAGAACTTTGCTGATGACAGATAACAACATACATGTACATGTAATGCTCCTCCAGTTGCTGCAATCCATTAAATCTGCCTTCCTTGGCAACTTTACAATCAGTCTCTTAGCATGATGGCAACTTCTCTGTCGTCCAGATCTTTCGAAGTTTCTTTGTAAGTAAATCTGGTGTGAGGTGTCACTGTCTATAAATCTAGCATTATACTAAGAAAGATCCATAAAATTTCATTACAATCTAATACTCAATAGACAGTGAATGACAATTCAGTAGAAGTAAATGAATTTCATGTATATTGTCATGTAGAAAAGGAAAATCCGTATAGTCATTTATAATGATTGAGAAATGACTGTGGGTCTCTATTGAATACTTTTTAACACAAAGAGGACTTATACTGTATTACAAATGCACTATTCAGAATTATACCTTTATCTATCATTATTTCACAAATATAGCACTTTCTTGTGATAACAGATTTAGATAGATTCGGAATGGTATTTAGAGTGCTATTCCTAATTTTTCTGGTTAAAACATCGTCGGCGAAAACATGCGAGGAAAGACTTGATCACATAGAAAATCTTCTGGACAGCCTCAAGTTGAGGATGGGAGACAAGAAAGATGCAGAGGACAAAGTAGGAAGCGGAATAGAATTTTTTTTTGAAATGCAGCTCGGAAAAGAAAAGCAAAAAATGGAACGAAGAATTGCACTTCTTGAGAAAATGCTACATGACTCTGACATACAAATGGATAAAATGAAGGCCAGAGTCTCGGAAGTAGAGTCTACAAATCGGGAACTAATTGTGAAAATCACAGCTATGGAATTAAATAATTGTGACGTATCTGAAAAGAAAAACCATATAAACACAATTTTTGAAAAAAATATAAAGACGTCGACGAAACCAACCTTGTCGAAAGATAACAAGGTTCAAGTTCCTTTCGAAAGTTCAAGGACAAGGGGCGAAGTATTTGTGAAAGCACAACGGAATTTTTCAAGGACAGAGATTAACATCCAACCTAGTTTTCAAAAAACAAATCCATCCATAAACAAGAAACAAGATCTATCTATAGAAAAACGTCTTTTGACAGGTGAGAATTGTATACTAGAGCTTTTAAATATTAGTTTAATAGTATAGGTAAACGTTTCCGATTAGTTGATCTATCCATACTCTTTATTTATTGACATCCCTGCTTTTTACAATTATTATACGCCCCACAATAAAATTATTTAGAACTGTTTCAGGTTTCATAACACACAAAAATTCGTTTCAGGTTCTCCAAAACAAATTAGTATACATGCCTCTATATAAATGCACCAATAGCGAAAGCCTAGTAGTAGGGTGTTCGCTTCGTGATCGGGGGTGGGGTCGGGGGTCGGAGGTTATCTTTCTCGGCGCAGCTTCAAACCTTAATTAGACGTTTTACATTGGTAGTGAGTATTCCTTCGCAAAGCGACTGACATTAGAAGAAAAAAATCAAGGGTCTTTCGAATATGACCTTATAAAAGTAGGCCACGTGCTTTGGTAGGCGTAGGCACGATGATAACCCTCAATGCTCAATGGCCCTGAGTGGCAAGTTAATGTCTATAAAATTAAATTCGTTGTATTCCATACTTATCACGTGATCACATACTATATATATCCTCACTCATTCATGTTCGATTATCGAGTCTCGCTATATACACGTATATTTAAAAATGAGATAAACATTATGTATTTGATATTTTATGTATTTTACGGTTCTGAATGTATTGATAAATGAAAAATTTATTTATAATAGACTGAATCAATATTATAATTATATAAGGCAATGCAAAATAAAAGGTTATAGCGAGTACCATTCCTAACATATGAGTTCTTTTCATTACTATCATACTTAGAATATAATTGTTTTATATTCGGACGAACATAGTGAGGGAGAATATAAAAATATGAAACTCTTCACCAGTACATTTGATTGTGTCTCATATGATAGAAAATTCTCGCAAGAGTTTTAAATGCTGCATTTGACCTACATTGTGTACGTCATGATAAAATATAGTTGATAGATAACTAGATTTAAAATCATCTTTCAGGTGTCCACACAACAAAGCCTCCATTTGCAGACGGTGTAGCATTCTCTGCATATGTGTCTACACACGAAACAGATATATCAAAAGACCACACAATTAAATTTGACAGAATAGTGACAAATCTTGGCAATCACTATAATCCACATTCCGGAATATTCACAGCTCCACAGCATGACGTGTATGTGTTTACATGGAACCTTTACTGTTATGTGGGAGGCTATATTTATTCCCAGATCCTTGTCAACTCTAATGCTGTTGGGGCCATGTTCACATCGGGCGAGGGCGCAACAGCTGTTAGAACTACAACAGGAGTCGTGGTGGTAGAGGTCAATCAAGGTGATGTGGTGTTTGTCCGTACTCATCCTACTGAAAGCCACCTTGGAAATCTCTACAGTCTTTCCATTTGGAGATCGTCATTCAATGGATGGATGATATACGAAAACAAAATACACGAAAAATAAATCACTATGTTGAATTCATATCAGAAAATTAAACCAGGGAATAAATAACAGTATTAAAAGGTTCCATATAACATACATACCATGCGGTGGAGTAGTGAATGAGTATATATTAGAAAATAAGAAAAAGAGTAATACCTATTTTACATGTGTCTATTTTGATTTTTGAAAAAAAGAAGATATTTAATGTATTAGAGATAGATGAAAGTGGATACTTACAGACATAAATTAATGCAAGATAAATTCAGCCTGAACATGAAACTATGTATTTCATCAAATGTTCTTTTTATAACTACCCACATTTTAAACAATTGTCTTGTGTTTTAATTGGTTTTGATTTAGGAGGGTTTAGTAAAATTGTAGCACGAGGTCATTCGCATACATTTTTGAATTACCATATGAAGTACGTACATGTATATACAGTAAAAACTTGCTAATAAGGTAGTACTGGGGTATTAATCAATGAAATTCTTTACATCCATACAAGAATGGGTTATGATATGAGGGTTGGGAAAAGATATAAATTCCATATAACCAAGATTTTCTTATATTCTTATATACAAGTTTTACTGTACACTTACATAGACAATAAATGATGATGATGATAATCAAAAAATAAGTAAAAACAAAATCAATGCACATAAATAAATTTAACTATGATTCGCACAACTAATTAGGAGAAAATTAAAAGACAAAAATACCCTGGACTTCCTACCCTAATCTTTAATCAATGTCTCCCGGACAACTGGCCTGACCAAGGGTTTTGACTAGAAGTCTCTAATCAACCGGTGTCTCCAGCACACTTTGACACAAGAGTACAGCCTTATTCAGCCTTTATTTCCAATGCCAAAGCTACGGTGGTCGACCATTTGACACTACATATACAATACGGCTTATCCAGCTCTATAGTAGCCTTCTATGTTCATTGCGATTCTGCTTATTCAAGCGTCCTTACTACTCTATCACCCTTACCCGGCCACTACTTTACGCAGCTGCAGCGAAACAACAACAGACTGATTCTGTTAACAACCGCTAGTTATATAGCATAAGATACGTCCATTTCATGATAGGGGAAATAGTTAATTCCATGTCAAAAACCCTAACTTCCCTTTTAGCAATCATTGGTACAAACCTTGATTTATCACATCATCCACCCCGTGAAGTCATATGTTCCGAATGAAAACAACAACGATTCAAGGCTATTATTTTTTTTTTCTGTCTATTTGAAAAGACTATCCTTTTGAATGAAATTCTTCTTGAATTACAGCAATTTTTTCTTCTCAATCTTCCCTCTTAGACCCATTTGGTTATTATTATTTATTGGTTTATTATTTATTATTATTTGGTGCCTTCTCAAATTTTTGGACGTGGTGGAATTGAAATCACAAATTGCAGAACAACAGTTCCTTGCTGCATTCACCGATTGCTTTGACAATTCTTCATCTTTCATAAGTCGGTAAGGACAGAAAGGACACTTCCTGTCGGTGTTGACAGTTATCTTTATCTTTGGCATTGCAATCTACGAAAGACAAATTTAAAAAAAAAATATATTCATCTGTTTAAAGATAACATAACTCGAAGCTAAATATGCATATTTCTAAAACATCAGTTTAATCTCCGATATACTCTGAATCCATTTTGGTGGACGTCTTTCCCTTTTCGTGGGCTCATGCGATCACCTATCATTTTGATTGTCTCATTCATTGTTTTCTGACCATATATTATCCACCTGAACACTTGTATCCCCTAAGTTATCCTTTTTATCAGAGACTTTATTCTCATCTTCTAGATGTCTTTGATCACCTAATTCATCAACTCCACTAGAATTTGATTCTCCCCTCCGTAACTTGGGATGTCGTATTTTGATCCTATCTACGTGGACAGTTTGTTCTCTTACTCTTTGCCCACAGTTAACCTTGTAGGTCAGATCAGAGCATTTGCCTAAGATTCTGTAAGGACCATGCCAATATGAGGTCAATTTCTCTGACCTACCTATTTTCGAACCGGAAAGTACACAAGAACACAATCACCAGGGGCAAATTTTCATGACTAAGCTTCCGGTCATGATATGTCTTTGGTCGACACATAGCTTGCTTAGTATTTTCCCGTGCTATCCTGTGAGCTTCTTCTAAGCGTACCTGTAATTCCCAAACCCACTGGTTTCTAGGAGTAACTTTTACCTCTCCTTGAAATTCGTACATGAGATCTAGGGGTGTAGATGTCTCTCTACCTAACATGAAAAAGTTGAGTGTATAGCGTAGCTGTTGTCTCATTTAAGTGTAATGTAGAAAATTACATTATCAGCTGTCGTACAATTATTTGAGCACAGTAAGATTTTGATATCCTATCTACAATGTGATTGTTAGTTGTATGTACATATTACCAGACATGGACACTCTATTCATAATTTTGTGATTGTAATTCCTTAAGACTATATCTGTTTTATTTACATGTGTACTTGTTTATATTTGTAATTGATATATAGAAGGCCCTGGGGAAGAATAGTGCATGCACTAACCAGGCTACCTTCTTTAAATAAAGTTTTATTATTATTATTATTATTATTATGTACTGCAGAACGATAGACCTGCATAACAGATGGGAGAGATTCTTCCCAGTTAGTCTGATGCTCGTTCACGTATGCACTAAGCATGGTTGCAATGGTTTTATTATACCATTCAACCATTCCATCACTTTAAGGGTGACAGAGGGTGTTCTAGTCTTTTCAATAGATAGTAAAAGCACAGAGCTCTTGAAACAAAAGACTTTCATATTGCCTGCCCTGGTCCGAATGAAGTATTTGATTTAATTTCTCAAAGACTTCCTCCACCAATATCCGAGCAACCGTTTGTCGGACATGGCAAAGCTCTCGGTCCACTTGGTAAAGTAGTCAGCAAGTACAAATATACCTCTCTTAGTATTAGACAACTCTCCTAGAATATTGGTAGACAATTCCTCCATGGAGATTCCAGATTCCACAAGAGCTTTCTTTGTAACAGTCGAATTTTTTTCTCATTAAACTTTTCTCACATCCCGCAGGGTATGCTCTTACATCCTTTAGAGACCTTGATTCGTCTTCTTAGGGCATTTTACCTATGCTATCAGCATTTTGATGTTGCGCTCCTGGGCGGTTTCAATCAATATATCTTCTCGCCATCTTGCTAGTTGGCCCTCTGATCTTTTGAATCTCAGTAACCACTTTAGGGAACTATTGTCCGTTCTAATACGAAATCTTTGTCCCTGAAGGAAATGTCTGAAAACTTTTACAAAATGAAAAACTGCAAGGAGCTCTTTCCTGTTAATGCAATAACGTCTTTCACTCTTGGACAAGGTACAACTGGCATAGGCAATAACTTTCTCATGACCTTCATATTCCTAAGAAAACATATCCCCTTAGTTTCTCTGCTCGCATCCGTATCCAGTGTAAAATCTTTAGTGAAGTCGGGGTGTCCTAATACTGGGTTAGTTATAAGCTTTTTTTCAACAGGTCAAAAGCAAACTGGCAATTATGATTCCAGACAAATGGTTTCCCTTTTTCAGTCAACCTATGTAGGCACTTAGCAATCATAGCAAAGTCCTTTATAAACTTCCTAAAGTACCCACACAGTCCAAGGAAAGATCTAATCCCGGTTGCATTAGTAGGTACTGGCCTTCTAATCTTATTAGGATCTTTCATTTTTCCTTCTTCAGAAATTATGTGGCCGAAGAACTTCACAGATCTCTGGAACAAATGGCATATGTTGGCCTTTAATCGCAACACAGCTGATTTAAGTCTGTTAAACACTCTCTCTATAAATTAGCCATCATTTCAATGTTTTACCAATGATGATAATATCAACAAGGTAAACTAAACATTTCATTGTAATCCTGCCAATACCATTTCCATTAATCTTTCGAACGTGGCTGGTGCACAACAAAGCAAACAAACAACCCCCTACATGTGAACAACACCCTACATGTGGCGAAAGTCGTTTCATGTTTGTCATTGGGATCAAGTTCCACATGCCAATACACCGGAAAACATATCTAAGGTGGAGAACCAGCTGTATCCAGACAATGGTTCTAAGGATTCATCAATCCTGGGCAAAGGATAGGCGTCTTTAACTGTGCAAGCATTAAGACGTCTATTGTCTACCACAAATCGGTAAGTATTAGCCTTCTTTTTCCCCATTACAATTTGGGATGCCCGTGGACTTATCGAAGGTTCTATAGTATTGCATTTAGCGTCTTATCAATTTTTCTTTCAATTTCTTTTGAGAAGTGTGCAGGAGAACGGCAAACAGGTTGCTTTATAGGTCTCGCATCTCCAGTGTCAATCGTGTGTTAGACTAAATTGGTTTTCCCAAGATCATTATTACTCTTGACAAACAACGATTTGTACTTCTAAGAAAATATTTCACTTTCTTACCTTGTTTCTTTGTAAGATACTTTGCAGAGTCACGATACAAGTTTTTTTTATGTCAGGCCGCTCTGCTGGTTCACTGGCATAATCTGAGGTCACCTGTTTCGTTTCCTGAAATTGTCCAATCTCTGTGTTCTTGTGCACCACCTTTGGTTCAGACTCTACGTTCAACAACCTAACTGGCACAATATTATTCTTGAATAAAAGTTCTAGCAGTCAATGGCCTATTGGCATCTTCTTTCTCTTTAGGTTCTACAATGCCCTGTGTTTGTAGCTGTTCCTAGTCAAAAGTACAAAATTTCCCTGGTATAATAAGTTAACTCCGGGGAGGTATGCTGACCGTTTCTTCTGCTACAACTCTAAAGCATCCAAATTTACCTTTAACCATCACAGGAATACTTTGTCCTCAAATAACAAAACATGCCGATTCGCATCTATGATCATATCAAAACGTCTGATCATGTCTAATCCCAGAATACCCTCTGCCTGAAGATCAGCTACCAAAGCCCATGTCTTTATAGAATTCTTCTAATTTCCATCTCTATATTGACTTTTTCTTCCAACTTTAATTCATCACCATCTGCATTATAAACTTTCTTGC